CATAGTACCCAATATGTCACTTGGATGCGGTCATGTAGGGTAATGAACAAGGAAGAACTTCACAGAAACCCTGAATCTTGGAAGACAATGACTTAAAAATAGCTGACTCAGGAGTTATCAATGGGTCAATCATGACACATCCTTCACTGAGGGGTAAGGAAGGACCTGCTTGCAGTCCTGCCTCATCAGATTTGCTATGAGATTGGTTCAGTGATTGCAGTATATACATCCCTCAACTTTCCTTTATTCTTTTACTCATCCTAGCTTTGTATTTCCACATTTGTTAGTACCAAGGAAGGAAGAAACTGAAGTTTAGTTTATTAGTGAGTGCCTATAAGGAGTCAAAGACCTAATGAGAACTGTCGATTCTCAGAGCTTGAACTAATAATGAGGCTTTATGGGGACAGATCAAGCTCACTTACTTGCTAAGGGAGAGGTACTTTGTGTGGGAGGAAGAAATTTGCAGGGCAAATTGGTAGAAGCTAATAGTTTTCTAGACTTTGTACAGTGATGAATTTGTACCTGGCTGCCCATATGGACCGCATTTCCCAGTGGCTCACAATTATAGCATGGAAAAATTCTCAGTAATGCCATGTGATTAGAAATGATAGATGTCAGGGACTTCAGGCCTTCATGTTCTCTTTCCCAACTAGAACTCATATGTGATGACAACCCTGTTTGGATCACACAGATAATGATAATGATAATGATGGTGCTGATGGTGGTGGTGGTGGTGGTGGTGTCCTAGGAAATGCAAGAAGGCCTGGGAAGGAATCATAATCCCTACATGACTTCAAGAAAAAGCTGTCAATATGGACTGTTTACACTGAGAATATTCTCTAGAGGAAAAAAACTTTAATAAGCTTGTTCATTTGTTTATTTATTATTCTGTGGTACAAGAATCAAACCAGAAGCTCACACGCTGAGCAAGCACTCTACCACTTGAGCTATGTCCACTTGACCACATTCCCAGACATGGTTTTCTGTGGCTGTACCACCATTCACAGGTTGCTGACAGAAATGCACCTCTTCTAACATTCTGGACCTGTGGCAGAAAAGCCTTGGGGAAAATATCTTGCATGCATGTGTACACAGTACATGAGGTACAGTATAAGAAAAATATATACTCTTTGTTCAGGGCACAGAGCTCCTAAAGCCATTAAAGTTCCTTAAGTCATAAGAAAGTCCTTTGTTCTTCTAAACAAATCCCTTTGGATGACAGCACCAGTGGTTATGATAATGAGATTACTGTGAGGATGGCCCTAGATTTTCACCTCAAGGAAAGCAAAAGGAGGTTGGGCATGAGGTGATGTGAATTTTCTCCAAAAGATTCTGAGAGCTTTAGAGTTGGTGACCATCTGTAAATTTGGAAAGGGTAGGATGCTGGGGAAGAGCTGGCAAATTCCTGCTTCTATTCCTTCCTCTTTACTGTTCTACTTGGTTGTTCCTGGGTTCTGTGAGTCATTCTAGTGAACTATTTGACCCGTGAGAGCATTGGTGTGAACTCTAAATTTAGTCACTTAGTCAGAGGCACAAGGTATTTGCTGAGCCTTGCATCTGGCATCTCAAATGGGAGCAGATTTGCGATACTGAACCTGTGGGATCTACGTTCCCTCTGGATGATGAATTTTGAATTTCTGGACACACACCTAATGTTAAAGATACAAAGAATCGGTGGAGAAAGCTCTCATGCATTTCGTGTCAGAAGGGACAAGCAGACAAAAAAGAACATAGAAACTTCAGTCAACACACAGCGTGGAGTAAATGGAACTCTAGTATTTCACATAAACATTTCAGCTTTATTCCTGAAAGGACTATCAATGACGACATCCACCTCAGGCACCTCAATTCTGTCAAAGTAGCTGAGACACTCCAGACTGCTACTAATGCCAACTTAAAGAAATATTAAGTTGGATTTTTTTCAACCTCACAAGAATGGTTGAAAAACATAAATATAAGTGGCTGTACATTTTACTTGGAAAGATGGAACCATCCTAAGAAGTTTGCTGATAAAATCACAAACCCTAGGCACAACACTCTAGGCTGCATAAATGAGCAGAGACAAAGGTTGGGTTTCCAGGAGAGCTTCTGTAGAACAATGAAGCTCCTACCCCTCCCCATGCAGGCAGCCACCATGTCTCACCACTCCCTGCTCCCTCCCACTCCAACCACACTGCAAGTCCAAGGAATAGCGATTTCAGGATTCTGAAACACCACTTTAGGTTTCAGAATGTGAACAAGGCCTAAGCTAGTGACAGCGGAGATATTTTTCTTTGGATGAAAGACTAATACTTTGGGTTAGATTGGACGGGGCTTTTTGATAGTTAATGTTAGTTAATGGCCATTTTTATTTTTAGGTGATCATAAAAGCCTAGAGATCTACCTCTGTTATTATCAATGGAAAAAAAAGAAGTATTCAACAACATTTAAAAAGCAACAGAGAGAGTTAGGGGGGTAAGTAGCTCTATGGTAGAGCATGTGCTTAGCAAGTACAAAGCCTTGCCTTCCATTCTCACCATCACCACCATCAAAGCAACCAAGCAAACACAAACTAGAAAGCATCATAAAAATAATCAGGTAGCTGTATCTGTTGAACTTACTAACTACAGTGCACTCCACACATGAGGTGAACCAGGTTTGGATGAGTGTCTGTTACCCGGCTGCCATGTTCAGTCAGCCACAAATCACACTTGCATAGCACGCACTTCCAACAGCAATGTGACATGGCAGCAGATCAGTAACACAAACACACTGCCTACTTTTACTCTCTTCAAAGTCACAGAAAAAAAAAAAAACCTTTGAGTGAGCATCAGAGGTTTGAGACTTAAAAGGCGATGACGAACTAAGGAAGGGAGTCAGAGATTGTGGGGTTGTTTTTTTTTTTTTGCCAGTCCTGGGGCTTGAACTCAGGGCCTAGGCACTGTTCCTAAGCCTCTTCGTGCTCAAGCCTAGTGCTCTACCACTTAAGCCACAGTACCTCTTCTGCCCTTTTCTTTTTGTCAGTTGTGGGGCCTGGGTGCTGTCCGTGATCTCTTCAGCACAAGGCTTGCACTCTACCACTTAAGCCACAGTGCCACTTCTAGTTTTCTGGTGGTTAATTGGAGATAAGAGTCTCATGAATGTTCCTGCCCGAGCTGGCTTTGTACTACGATCTCACATCTCACACTCCTGAGTAGCTAGGATTACAGGTCCAGCGTTCTTCGGGCGTTTTCTGAGTAGTTTATTGGAGATAAAGAGTCTCACGGACTTTCCTGCATGGGCTCTTCCAACCACAATCCTCAGATCTCACCCTCCTGAGTATCTAGGATGACATTCGTGAGCCACCAGCACCCAGCAGGGAAAGACAATTTAAAGCAATAGGTCTTCCCAGCAAACCAGAGTATTCAAAGAGATGCTCTATGGAGCTACTTTTGGCCTTGAACTGTATAACTCCAGGATTCTTTTGTGTGAGACAAAAGTCTACTTTGTATTGTGCCTAATCCTGTCTGCCACAGTATCTATATTATACTAACTCCTTCAAATAAACAAGAAAAAGACAGCAAGTCTATAGAGAGACAAGCAAAGGAGAGCAGAAAATTCATATAAGGAAGAAATAAAAATGGTCAATAAGTATTTGAGCATTGACTATCCACAATTTTAATTAGAAAGTGTAAATTTGAAACTGAAATGTCATTTCTCACCAATTGTTTAGCAATTTCTAAAAATACAAAGTCTAACGAGTTGGAAGAGCCACAGCTCCACTTATGACTCTTTGATGGTTACTTGGAGATAAAAGTATGGCCTTTCCTGTCTGGGCTGGCTTTGAACCATGATTCTCAGATCTCAGCCTCCTGAGTAACTAGGATTATACTGAGCCACAAGCACCTATCCTGGAAAAGTATTTTTGGAAGACACTTTGGAAATAGGCTCCATTTGTAGATAAACAAGTGCTCATGTATTCAAGTGCACGGGTGTTATGTGTGTAACTCTCTAAAGCCAGGTGCTGGTATCTCATACCTGTAACCCTAGTTACTTAGGAGGCTGAGATCTAAGGATTAAAGTCCCAAGCCATCCTGGTCAGGAAAGTCCATGAGACTTTTATCTCTAATTAATCACTAAAAAGCCAGAAGTGGAGCTATGACTCAAGTAGTAGAGCACTAGTCGTAAGCACAAAAGCTCAGGGACAGTGCTCAGTGCTAGGGCTTGAACTCATCAAGCCCTAGCATCAGCACACATCACACACACACACACACACACACACACACACACACACACACACACACATATACAAGGTCTAGAAGTATAGGTAACTAAGATAACTTAACAGTGTTTCTGTTCACAAAAGAGGAAGACCAGAGAATGGAAGGAAGAGGAATGGGCTTTGTTTACAGCAGGACTTTCAGTATGACCATATATTACTTTTTGTAATTCAAATTTTTAAATTAAAAAATCAGTCATACAAGTTTTTAAAAGATTAAAGAGGTATCTAATGTTATCTGATGCACTCATTTTCCTGACAGAAAGATGTATTAGGTATTGAGAGGGTAGGCATAGTTTACTCAAATTTAAGAAAATCTTGGCAGCTAGATTCTCTTCATACAGGTAAGAGGTTCAGAATTTCCTGACTCAATAAAAGGGCTTTCTTAATTGGAAAGAACTTTAAGTATAGGATGATAGTTTATATATCTGGACATTACTGAATAAGGTTTTCTTTTTATAATTAAATACTAAAAACTATCTTAGAAAAAGTATTTCAAAGGTTAGTGAACATTCTATTTTTAATAAAAATCATAAATTCTATTATTCATTTTTAATCTTTCATTTTGGCAGGCACTGGTTTCAATGTTCAATTATTTGCCAAAAAAAAAACCCTCAGACTATCCATGCTGATGTATTTGCTTGTTAAGAACCAGAATTCATTAAAAAATACACCTAGTCTTCCCAGATATCATATATTTCTTTTAAATCTCAAAATTTTAAGCCAAAAGTGGGTCACTTAAAATACAAGGAAACAGTCTTACTTGGTCCTCAAAAGACAGAGCCTGGGCAACATCTCTTGGAAATCCATCAATAACAATGCCCTCTTCATCAGGTATTTGCATCAATTTTTGTTTTATCTCTGTAATTGTTGTTTCCTTATAAAGATAAAAAAATAAAACAGCAGTGTTAACCTTAACACACAGAAAGTCGTTTATATATTTATTTTGAGAATGAAAGTAAATTACACAGCAATACCTGTGGGGCCAATTCTCCATTTGTAATTATCTTGGCAATAAGACTCCATTTCCTATTGCTGCTGGTACTGTGGATCTTCTTTCTCAATAACTCTCCCACTGAAATGTACTGAAATCCATAACGTTCTGCAATTTTTAAACTTTGTGTACCCTTTCCGCTTCCTGGGCCACCTATTATTCAAAACACACAAAATGGTGACCTGATACAATAAACAAGTCCCTCTTACACTACTGTTCTTTATCTGAGCTGAAGATTCTGGAATACCAGAACCAGATAGAATAGCTGCTCCATCTGTGGAATTCTCAGTGTTACTCCTTTTTTACACTTAAAAAATTGCCTTTAGTTGTGCAAATGAATGTCAATTTAATGTGTCAAGTCATGAGTACAAAGCATCTTGGCCAATGTTACCCCTTCCGTTGTTCCCTGCCTTCTATCTCAGCCCCACACATCTCAAGTTCCATTTTCACATATGCATACTGTTATGATTGTATTCACCCACCATACCTCCCTGCATTCATCTGCTTCCCTCTGACAAAACATATTTCCCAGAGAAAGTGCAGACTTAGCCAAGGGTCTTGATCAACTGTATTAGATGGAAGAGACAGTTTTTCTCAATACCTATCTTAAGAAACAATTAACTAAGCCACAGATATAGTTAATTGTTAGAAACATGCACAAAGCATTGGTTTCACCCCTAGAACCCCCCCACACCCCAAACACAACAATAAAAAGCCACAATATTCATAACTCTGATTAAAAATGTTTTCAACAATGAAGTTCCAGTTGAAAGAAATGTTGATTATTAAGCTGTGAAAATCCTATAGGTTTCCCCTTGATAATCAAAGAACTATGACCCCCTTTTTAAATTACAAAGGCCAGGATCAACATAATAGAAATGTATTTAATATCTCCAAAGAGTTTACAGGTAATTTAGTGAAATTTAACAATTATTTTTAAACCAAGTGCACAATAGTACTGACTGCCACAACTTATTTAAGATGGTTTTTGTAATCTGCTCTTATGTTCTTGTTTAATCACCTTTGAATTCCAATGTTTCATGCAATGATGTGAAGAATGAATGGAATAGGTCCTTAAGAAAAAAATGCTTCATAGAATTGTTTGTGACAGAGTAGCATGAAATAATCAAAATTTTGCAGCACAGCTCAGCATTAATCATTGATAATTGCCATTTACTTCTTTAGAGACACAAAAAATGATAGTCACAAAAATACTAATATATACCTCAGGTTTTCAAATATGATTTTCAAATCACATTAGATTAATTCTTTTTGGTTCAGGTCCTGGGACTTGACTTCAGTTTAAAGCACTGTCCCTGAGCTTTTTTTGCTCAAGGCTAGTCCTCTACCACTTGAACTACTGCTCCACTTCCTACTTTTTGGGGGGTGATTATCTAGAGATAAGAGTCTCATAGATTTTCAATGCCTAGGCTGGCTTCAGTCTGTGATTCTCACATCCCTGCCTGGGCTCATCACATTAGATTAATTTTAGCTAATTTATATTTCTGAACCAACATAGGGTAGAATCTAGTCTTAAATATGTATTATATATAAAATATATAATTAAATATATAGTTATCGGTCTGGTTGGTAGTTGATGGGAATATCAAAACGAAATATTTTTATAAATAAGCACAAATTACTATAAGCAAAGAAAACATTAGAAAGTCTATGTTGAATAAGTGATTGTTTCAGTAACATTCATTTAAATGTAAATATCACTTTATAATACAATAAAAAATTTTAAAAATCCAAAATCAGAAAAGAAAAAAAACCCTTGTAAATTGGGTGATATTTGAAGATATATATCTTCTCTTAAGATTTTAGTCTATTAAAGTATTTTAGTTTCATGTAAAATTTACAATGCATAAAAAATCATACATGTAGTGTCTTACATAAGAGACAGTTGTTACTATTCTATCTGCATGGCAATCAAGCTATTTGTACATTACTTTCATATCAGTACTTTATCAACAACAATGAGAAAAAGGAACCTGGAAGAACGTACTCTGTACACCAACAAGCTATAAAATGGTAAAATAATTCCAATTTTATTTTTACCTATGGACATCCTTTAATTATTTCCTTGTCTCCTAGGGAAGGACCACCAATTTTTAGACAAGGAAGCATTTCAGTTTTCAGAGTAGAGATGTTTGACATAGTAGGGGCTATCATAAGCCAGAAGAATATTTCGAGTTTTTTACATCTGCTTTACATATGCTTTTTTGTTCTGCTTTTTTCTTGATTACTAGTAATCAAATCTAGGGCCTTGTATTTTGGTTGCCAAGCACTCTACCACTGAGCTATATCCCCAGTTCCTCAAAAGGTGATTTCTATACTCTTCCTGCAATATTCTTTTTAATAATTCATGGTTGTATGTATATTTGTAATGTGATTTTCATCTCACTTGGAAATGTTCAAATTCCATTCTCAGTTGCTTTTTTGTTCACTTTTCCCCTAGTTGCCAGCTTGACTATGTCCTCCAGAGCAGTCCTTTTGTGCATGGTGGCTGTATACGTTTGGTCCTCTATTCACAATAACTGGTTAGAATATTTTGAACATTTATGCTAAACATTTCTTTGGGTTATCTCATGAAAGCTCAAACAAGAAAAATGAGACAATGATTACATATATTGCATGCCCTCAGACCTTTTCACAAATATATGTTTGAGAAAGTTAAAATTCACAAAAATGATCAATAAATGATTTTGTAAAATTACGCAAAACAATCCTTATGAAATAGAAATAGAGTGATATCATCTACAAAAGAAGATTCATAGGGACAATTTAAAAAAGTAAATTTTATCTTTGTCATTTTGGTGAATAATCAGATGTTACATAGTTATTTAAAAATATTCTCTTATATTTGATTATCTGATAACATGGAAACAGATTTTATTATAGGTCCTAATGTACCATAAGGAAGATTCATTTACATGAATGTTTACCAATATACGGGTATTTTTGCCTCTAAAGTTAATAGTGAGAAAAATTCAATTTGGTGAATAAAAAGGAAAGAACTCCTGTTTAGAAAACATTATGGATCTACTTAGCTATATTAAAGATTAAATAAATGAAGCCAAAGAACAACAGATCTTGAGGTGATTACTTTCAATTCATTATAGGGAATTTTTATGACATTGTAATGGAGACTATGAAAAACATAACATTAGATTACTTAATTAAAATAAGTTCCATTTTATTGAAAATTATCCTAAAATATTTCTATTTTCTTTGTCGTGCTATTTTTTCTATTCCCTTTCTGCTCCTTATCCAACTAAGCATTTGCAAAGTACGATATGCACTGAAATTTCTGAAATGTAAACACATAAAAGTTAGCATTGGTAGAGGATTTTGTTTCCTGCTGTCGTACCTATAACAAGAATGATCTTTGGTCGTGGTCTAGTAGGATCAAAAACCTCGTACTCTTCAATTAACTCTGCAGTCTCGGAGAGATCTGTGTCACTCTCTATGGAGAACTGGTGGATTGGAGGGAGCCGATCATACCGTCGATAGGGAAAGTTTGAATTTTCAGGCATTACTGTGAAAGAGTAAGATAAACTTTGAAAAGGAAAAAAAAAGACACAGTAAAACACTTCACATTTTTAAAGGAAAAAAAAAGACACAGTAAAACACTTCACATTTAACCAATTCGTATAAGAAATTTAATGAGTTTGATCTTTCTTTTTAATTGGAAGAAGACTTAGTAAGTGGCCAGCTTTTTTTGTGGGGGAGTTGCAGTTGGTAGGCTGGGGATCCCAAAGAGCTATGCCTCCATTCCTCCAGGCTTTTGAGATCGGGTCTCATTCCTTTCTCTAGGCCCACTTGTGATCCATCACTCGCTTATTTCTGCAGCATGTCCATTTTAAGCTTCTATTTATAGTTAGGGTAACAGGCACATGCGGATACATCCAGCTTCTTTTGTTGAGATGAAGTCTTGCCAACTTTTCTACCTGAGTCATCCTGGATTTCAGCCTCCCACGAATATGGCTATAGACAAGCTGTGATTTGCTCAGGTATGGGTTAAGAAGAGGTCTTACATATATACTGGGGTTGGCCTCCAACGATGTGTGGAAAGGCACTAACAATGTTACTCTGCACTGTCTTGAAATTTAATCATTTTACCCAACACAAGACAAGACTTCAGAATTACCCTCAATTACTTTCTTCCCTTACTTCTCACATTTGTTCTTGCAGTCTTTATCATGGAAAATTATTCCAAATGTATAGTGTATTTTCTATCTCCACTGTTACAAATATTTCCCCGAGGTACCATCATATTTTATCTGGACTGCTGAACTCACACTTTATTGGTCTACCTGCTTCCATGTTTGTTCCCGCAATCTACTGAAATGGTCTTCCCTTGTTGGTCCTAGCTGACTGCCACCTAGTGAATTGCAAGAACATCGCTCTACTGCTCTGCACAGTTGTCACTTCAATATCTGAGAGCTTTATCATTCATTCAAACTTTCTTCATTTGTTCACTCATTCATTTTATCTCTTTGCTCCTACTAGATTTTAAGTTCTATAAAAGCCAGAATTTCACCTGTCATTCAGAACTCTGCATCCCTGTCATCTAACACTGTGCCTGGCCAGTGGCAAGAGTCCAACAAATACCTGTTGAATTACTAACAAATAGAATGCCTTTCTTGAAGGAAAAAATAAAATGTGTGGACAGAACACGGAAACAATGTGAAGAGATTAATAAACCAGGGTAAAAGCATTCATTTTCATATGGTGTAAACCTAGTGGGTAACTTTGGGGGTTGGAGAAGTAACATGACATTATGCTTTTTTTTGCTAGTCCTGGGGCTTGAACTCAGGGCCTAGGTACCTGAGCTTCTTTTGCTCGAGGTTAGCACTCTACCACTTAAGCCACAGCACCACTTCCAGCTTTCTCTGTTTATATGATATTGAGGAATCAAACCCAGGGCTTTGTGCATGCTAGGAAGTACTCTACCACTAAGCTATATTCCCAGACTGACATTACACATTTTTCAGGAAAATTAATATGGTGATGGCTAGTAAGGGTTTGAATAGGAGAAGTCTGAGAGAAGAAAGAAGAGCAGCTAGGAGGTAGTTAAAACAATCAACAGGGGAGAAATAAAATCTTGGACTAGAACAATAGCTGGGAAATGGAAAGAAATGGATAGTGTAAAAGACTTGGTTAGGGCTGGAATACAAAAATGAAAGTGAAGTAGGTGATACTTTACAAGGTCCACATGTCAAATCTAAAGGAATAAGGACCACACTACATTTTATATATAGTACCTTTCTGTCTTCTTTTCTCTGTTCCAGGTTTATTATTATTATTATCTTACTTTGATCACAAACCACTCACTCATAGCTCCCATTGAGCTACTGATCAAGTTTTTAAGGCCTGATTTCATTGCTGGGCTGTGATTTTCCTGAGAACAATGCCATGTCAGTTCTTTCTTGATGGCTCCAATCTCAGCTGAAAAAGAGTATCTGTCACATAACAGTACTCAAGAAATGGTTATGTTATGGCGCAACAGACTCATTGACTGACTTTATGAAAACAAGAAAGTGAGAAGTGAGTGATGGTTTTGAGACAAATTTGTTGTATTTGGTTTCTGACATGTATATAGGATGGCCAAGAGATACTCCAGAAGAATAACTCTAAGTATGTTTGAGATTGGAACTTTTAATTCACTGGTAACTATATATTCAGTGTGTACACCTAACAAGGACAAATTATGATGTTTATCTCATACCTCATATTTAAGGGTTTTAACAACTGGCAACCAGTAATTTATATTTTAATTTAGGAAAGTAATTTATTTGGGTGATAAAAACTGTTTGTGTTGTAGGATAATTTCTCAGGATAATTATATGTTAGCATACCTAGGTCAATATTTTTGCAAAAACTCACAAATGATTCCAGTTCTAATCATTTTGTTTTAAGTTACTGGGCACTTAGGCATTCTGTTAAATTTAATAATCTATTCCATAATTACAGTTAAAACCTACAAAGCATGAATATGTAAAGCATTTTATAAAATAAAACTTGGTTATTATGGGATATTTGGTTTAGAAAACAGTTTCCATGTTTTAGCAAATATTGCAGATATTAGATACTAGGGTGTAACATTCTTGTCACCTAGTATATGAGAAGGCTCTAATGATGAATGAAAGGACCCTTGTCTGAAAATCTAACACTGGAAGATATGGAAACCCTGAAGCTAACAATCAATATTCCCTCCCTCCTTCCTTCCCTCCCTTCTTCCCTCCCTCCCTTCCTTCCTTCCTTCTTCCCTTCCTTCCTTCCTTCCTTTTTGTCAGTCATAGTGCTTAAACTCAGGGCTTGGACCCTGTCGCTGAGCTTTTCTGTTCAAGGCTAGCAATCTATCACTTGGAACCATAGCACCATTTCTGGTTTTCTGGTGGTTAATTGGATATAAGAGTCTCAGGGACCTTCCTGGCTTAGAACCATGATCCTGCCTCCTGAGTAGCTAGGATTACAAGAGAGAGCTATCAGAACCCAGCAGCAACTTCATTTCTGTTTATTTGCTTAACCTTTCCCCAAAATTTGTACTTGACTTCCTTTAGATAATGACTGTTCTCTCCATTTCTGCTCTTTGGTTTGGCTACAGTCCTTACCAATCCCTAATATATCTCTATATCTATCTATCTAGTTTTTCCTGGTTTCCATGTATTATCAAACCAAGCAATGGTATCAAGCTTTAATTTTGTTGTCCACAGTCACTGTCTACAGCTAATCTAAGAGTAGCTTATCAACTAATTGAATGCCATCACTTCTTAAGATTCCATTTTCAAAATGAAAAATTTCTGAGACCAAATCCACTAACGTCTGATGCTCATTAGTGTTTCAAGTCTTAGACAACACTGTCCCATATTGATCTCACTTAATATAACAAGGATATGTTTTTTAACAGTGACTGGGATTCTAACCACATGGTAACATCTCATGAAGGAAGATGGCCATTTGGAGGAGATGTATGAACTTAACAAGATCACTAAAGATCATTTTGTTCATCAAAAAAGCAGAAATGTGCAAAGACATGAGATACAGAAGTAACTAAAGTTATTCCAGTGACAGTAATCCACTGAATGCCAAATCTAAGCTCTGTCAACTCAGCTTGAGTCAGAGCCCTGAGCTCCAATTCTGACCACTCAATACTCTGTGTATTTCAGGCTTTTCTCAAAAACCCCTTGATTTACAAAGAGTGAAATTTTCAACTTGGACAGTTCCAAGTCATTATCCTGTTACTGGGTCTCTAAGTACACTGCATGGGAAAAGTAAAAATCTCTTTAGAATTGGATTGGTTCTAAGGGTCAAATCCAAATATTTGGTGCAAATTCAACTTTATAAGTACTTACAGATGTGACATGGCTTATTATTTATAAGTGATACTTTAAAATCTAAGATAGAGTGATTCATCTTGTAAGTAATGAGATCAACTGCTCTCTAAAACAAAGAACAGTAATCTTATTACCCTATGGTCACACTAAATGTTTTTAAATTATTTCTCAGCTGTTCACATGTCAGAACATATGCATTTTGAAGTAGCAATTCCATATTTCTGGGTTATTTGTTACCAACCATATATAACAGTATGACATGTGAGTACCTAAACCTAAATCACTTTTCACTCCTGCTTGAATAAGGAAGAACTCTTCTCCAATCTGGAGATGGTTTTGGCGTTTCTATTTTCCCTTTTCTTGAGTGTCTTACAAATGAGCACTTCATGACTTTTTTCCTACACCACATTCAAATAAATTCTATGTGGGGTCATAACTGATATTTATTGCAAAGAGAATTGTCTCCTCTTCAAATTCTTCTGGAACAGATGACACTTGTGTGGTTCATTTTTGAGAATGGTTTTAATTTTGAAAGTATAATGCCCGTCAGCCACTAGAACAAGAAACTTAGTTTCCTCTTATTGGAATTGAGTCTGAATCTAGTTTTTATTTTTTAAATTGATTTTAGTTCTATCTATCTATCTATCTATCTATCTATCTATCTATCTATCTATCTATCTATCATCTATCTATCTACTTACCTACCTACCTACCTATCTAGCTATTTATTCATTTTGATGCCAGTCCTGGGACCTGGCTAGTTCTGGGGCTTGAACTCACGGACTGGACACTATCCCTGAGCTTTTGTGCTCAAGTCTTACACTCTACCAGTAGAGTCACAGCTCCATTTCTGTCTCTCTCTCTCTCTTTTTTGGTGGTTAAGTGGAGATAAAAGTCCCACAGACTTTCCTGACTGGGCTGGCTTTGAATCATAATCTTCAGATCTCAGCCTCCTGAGTAGCTAGAATCACAGGCATAAGCCACCAAAACCCAGCTTATTTATTTATTATATTATTATTTTTGTTTTCCTTAAGTAGTTGTACAAAAAGAAGTTGAGTCTATCTTTTACATACTATTATATTTCACACCTTCATGTAGAACTTGAAAGGCTGGTTGGCTCTCAACATTGTGGCATATATTGATAAGCACATACGACAAATATGTATTTCAGAGAGACATCAAAATATCTGGAGTTTTTTCTAACAAACTCTAGCTCTTAGTTCTAAACTACTCCTAAAATTTAAATAAGTTTACTTTATACATATATATTTTTTGTCAGTTGTGGGTCTTGAACTCTGGGCTTGGGCACTGCCATTGAGCTCTTCAGCTTAAGGCAAGTGCTCTACCACTTAAGCCACAGCACCACTTCCCGTTTTTTGGTGGTTAAATGGAGATAAGAGTCTCACAGACTTTCCTGCCTGGAATGACTTTGAACCATGATCCTCAGATCTCAACCTCCCGAGTAGCTAGGATTACAGGGGTGAGCCACCAGCACCCAGTTGTATTTCTTTTATAGTACTCAAATGCAGATTCGAATATATTCAATAGTTATATAATGAATAGTTATTGAATTAAGTAAACTTTATATGAATTTGTGTAGTTTCATTAATATGAACTCTGGACTTGGAAACATTAAATCAAATCTCTAGTTAATGAAAAATGTTGAATTATAATGTAATAACTACCAATTTAGTCTTTATTCTACCCGTGTATTTGGAAAAGGATTATTTGCAATTTAAAAATAAAGTCAAGATGTTTAACGCAATTTACTTTGCAAATAATGAATTCAGTAATAGATAATTTTATTAAGTCTTTAGCAAATTGCTGGACAATGGTATGTAATTTCGTTTGTCTTATGGATCATGGAAGTGATTAGAATTAGTAACAGAAAGAGATTAGTTATATTCCAAGGCCTCAAATTTTTCCAGGCATGTATAAACCCAATCAATTAAATCACTCTCTACATTATACAAGATATTTCCATAAGACAATTATTTCGCCTATAAAATTGTGTTATTCAATACACACATTACCATTTCTTAGAAAGGATCTCCGAGACTGGCCTCCATTTAGCGGAGGTAAGGTCTTCTTTTCCTGGCTGACAAATGTATCCCACTTCACCTTATCACAGCCACCCATTTCCTTTACTTTCTGCAAACAGCTTTCCAAGTACTCCACTGGGTCTTCAGGCTTAGAACACATCAGTCCATTCAAAAGGCTCTGAAATACAATGAAGTACATAGAAGTACAATATGTTTTTTTGATGTACTACTGTCTTGTTTCTAAATCCTCAGTTATTTTTGTCTTTTGCATCTCCCTTTCTGTCTTTCTCTCTGTCTCTTTTATGCCAGTCTTGGGGCTTACACTCAAGGCTGGGGTATTGTCTCTGAGCTTTTTTTGATCAAGGATAGTGCTCTACCTCTTGAACCACAGATCCACTTCTGGCCCTTAAAACATTATTTTATTACCTGTAAGGAGGTATACAAAGGAGTTGCCACTTAGCGAAGCAGTTTATGAATGCATTGCATCTTGATCGATGTCGCCCCTTTCAACATTCTCATGCAGACCACCTTACTCCTTCCTTCCCTCACTCTTCTTAACTTTGTAGGATATACATAGCATTCTTGACTGAATTTTCCCCTACTTCTCTTCATTCAACTACCTCTTTCCCTAAGGAACCTTGAAATTTATGTTCTTTCTTGAATCTACCATATTTCACCTAATACATTCACTTTTCAACTTTTGCTGGTTAATTAGAGATTAGTTTCATGGTAAGGAGAAACAAAGGAGGAGGCAACAATGCATGATAAGAAATGTACTCATTACCTTGCTCATGTAATTGTAACCCCTCTGTATGGTATTTTCACAATTTAAAAAACTTATTAATATTAAAAAAAGAGTTTCATGGACTTTCTTGACTGGGCTCACCTTGAACCTTGATGTTCAAATCTTAGCCTCCTGAGTAGCTAGGATTACAGGTGTGAACCATGGGCACCCAGATGCATTTGTCTATTAAAAAACAATTAGAACTGAAATTATGAGACAATAGAGCAAATGAAGATAATCCTTTGAATTCTTTACCAGTTTGTTTTCAGCTCAACACTCTCCACTTTAAAACAACAGGCAACTATATAAAGTAGAAAAGCCCTACCAAGGAAAGGTTAAAAAAAATACAGCATATGAAAATGTCCCTAGTCTCTTTTTCTCTCAATCCCACTCATCCTTAAATTCTCTAAGTTTATCTCTTCTGTGAAATAAGGCTTTAAAAATTTTAAAATACAGCTGGGTGCCAGTAGCTCACGCCTGTAATCCTAGCTACTCAGGAGGCTGAGATCTGAGGATCATGGTTCAAAGCCAGCCCTGGCAGGAAAGTCCATGAGACTCTTATCTCCAATAAACCACTAGAAAACCAGAAGTGGTGCTGTGGCTCAAGTGGTAGATCATTTGCCTTGAACTTAAGAGCTGAAGGACAGTGCCCAGGCCCAGAGTTCAAGCCCCATAGCCAACAACAACAAAATTAAACTACTTAATACTTGCATAGGGCAAATTAGGAGCTTCACATGTCCTAGTATTTAACTGATGTTGTTTAGTTTTGTTTATTGTTATTTAGTTGTTTGTTTTAGTTATTATTATTGCTATTGTGACCATAAAGTCTCCCCTGAGCCCCTGCATCTGTCTGCAGGCCCCTCTATTATGTTCCCTGCTACCCAGAATAAAACATCACACTGGTCATATATGTTGAATGCATCAGTTTTGGTGTCAGTCTTTGTGTCCGAACTCAGCGGTACAGATTTAATTTTCAATCCCAAGTACCTAATACTTTTCTTGGTATATTAAACTGTTTTTTGATTAAGACAAAAAAACTAAAATAATTCAAGTCTGAGTGAGACTACAAAAACTGCAGCTTGAGACTCAAAAAATACTCTATGATATTTAACAGATCACTACGACATCCATTGAGATTAAAGAGAAACAAGTATTATCCTGCTATGAAGCTTTCTATTTGTGGTGTCTGATGTGTCACGTGTAGAGGTTTCTAAAAATGCTAAAAGTTTGGAAGTGCTGACTCGTGGGAAGTAGACTAGAATGAAAAATATCTTCCTTCAGAGGTTTTCATGGAGAAAGCACAAGCACAGAAAATTATTATCAAGAATATATATTATGAATGTATAAGTCATACACACCCTCTGAAAGGTTGACATCTTTTAAAAATACCATATTGTATTTTCAAATTAATTTGAAATTAATTAATCAAATTGATTTGAAAATAAAATACAATTTTCCCAGAATGGCAAGCAATTCCTACTAAGTACATTTATCTCTTAAAACCTTTAATCAGATGGGTTAGAATGTGTAACTCTATCAGAAAAGTTTAATTGCTGAAGGAGAAGAAAAGGCTGAGTGGGGGATGCACATCCGGTTTGTGTTTACCTTCCCACACTCCTCTAGTACACAAGGCCAGAATTGAGTGTTTCATGGGAATTCGTTTACCTAATGCATGCTCAACATTATTATCACATTTTAGAGACTAACAGCTCAGAGCTGTTACTGATTTATTCAAGGTTACTCAGCTAAATGCTTCTAGGTTCAGGATTCCAGTTTCTGAACCTAGTATAAGATAAAACCTAGTATAAAAGAAAATGCCAGCTTCTCCATGTACAATCTAACTTCAATGTGAACCTCTTAAAATTACTTTTTTTTTTTTACTTTTGCCTTTTGAATTTACTCAAATGGAAGGTTTTCTGACTGGCAAATATACAGTCCCAGACTCGCAAAACAAAACATATTTCCTAAAGGATGTGTATGTGCGTATGTATGTATATATGCGTGTATGTACTCGGTGTTTTTGAGACAGAATCTTGCTATGTTACGCAGGCTGGCCTGGAATTCATGATCTTCCTGCTTCAGCCTCACAAGTATTGGGACAACACCAAGGTTGGACAGTGAGCTGGACAATGAACAATGGTTTCCATTCCTGCATGGATAATTTAAGTCCTTTTTTTGTGGTAACAATCTATATCAGGGACTAAGGTACCCAGGACTCTGTTTTTGAGGTAGTTTGGGGATTTGACACCTATCACTGTTAGACTTCATGTTATCTAAGATGTTGTGGTTTTGGTGGCGACAATCTGGTTTAAAAACTTCAAGTATTTGATTTTGTTGTTTGTACTAGCTCATGGAGAATCACCTGATTTTTCTTTCCTTCTGTATTGTACAGAACATAGAGTTGTCATACTGGAAGGGAAGGGTGGAGCTTCTGGGGTCACCAGCATGCTCCTTGTTTTCCTGTTGTCCAGGATTGAGGCTATGATGACTGCATTACTGCCTTTCACCTAAACAAGTGGACTTCCTTTTCTGAGTGTGAACTACTGCAAAACACCTCGTTCAGGGGCAGAAAAGCTCATAAAACCAGCATAAAACCTCAACAAGAAATTCCTGCTGCCAATATTTATTGCATACACAGTGCAGATTTTCATTAACTGTCTAAATTCTCTGTGGTTACCTTCCACCAAAAGAGAAAAGTAGTATCCACATTATGCAGAAAACATGACTACTGTTCAGCAGTATTTTGCACTGATGTTCCTCCCACAGGTGTTCCTAATTATTCTTTTAGCACTGTAGACATAAATTTGATTTCGGTTGCAATATTTCTGATGAAAGAAACAACCACCACTTTTCAGCTCTTCATTTCCATATTTACTTAGGGGAGGAGGAACAACACTTTAAGATTCCCACACATTCCCATTGTCACACTGGAGTAACACACTTGCTAGATTCAGCTTCCCACACCAGGCCTGGTTTACTTGGAAATCTGTGTCTGCACAGAGCCTGGAAACAATGTTTTACATAGGTGAGAGAAACAGAAGATCTGGGAGGAATGACAACCCATTTGAAGAAATCAGGGCAATTTTTTCCCCCTCAAATCTTGTCTTCATTTCTTTTGAACAGAAAGAAATCCCCCAAACAGGAAGAACAACTCATGGCTTTTAGTTTATTGTATTCTCAATAATGTTTCAGACATGAGAGGCCAGGTTTGCAGGGAATGGCCTTCCTCCTTTCAGGGTTCTCCCTAAGAAGCTTGGCTTGATTCCATTCCCACCTTCACCCACCTCCCTCCCTTTTTTGGTACAGTTTTGATTTAACCTAAGCAAAACCACTTAGGATTTAGGATTTTTTTTTCTTTCCAATTTATATACGGAAAGAAAGGAAGCAAAAATCCAAGAAGGAGGCTGCAGTTTAGAAGTAACCAAGATTCCTTTAGCTCAACCTTCAAGGTTCCCCTAGCAAATTCTGTAAGTGGTGCCTCCTCCCCCCCTTGGCCGTCTCTGGCCCCGGGCCATAGGAATCCTTAGGGCCCACTGTGCTTTGTGGTCTGGGGACAGCAACAGGGGTCAACGTCCCAGTCTCCTCAGACCCACTATCTCCAGATGGGTTGCAAAGTGCAGATAAAAAGCTGCAGCCCCAGAGGCAAGCGAGCAAAGCCTGCCAAGACCATGGGGGGAAAACGTGCTCAGGAGTTCATTCACTAAAAGCGCAGAGCAGCACTGGGTGCCTGCCACCCAGAAGGTTGCGCTGCACTTGATGGGGTGAGATTTGCTTTTTGCTTCTTCATCCCTCTCCCTCAAGCTTCCCAGGGGCGGGAGGGGGAACGGGGTGTAGAGGAGGAGGGTTACCAGCCCCGACACTTCTTCCCTGCAGGGGTCCCGACCCTGGGTGAGGGGAGAGACTGAGGCTCCGGACTCTTTAATTTCTAGTTCAGGTTCCATGCTGGGTGACCGTGCGGTCACCTGGCCTGACCCTCACTCCCCCACTCCCTCTCCCAAATGAAAAAAAGCGCTTCCAGATCGCTGTCTGCACCCGACCCTGGGTGCCCAGCATCTGAGGGGGGTGCTGGGGGCAGCCTATTCCCAGGATCCGGTTTGAAGATGGAAAGTTCCTCAGGACGTCCGAGCCCGGCGATCCGGCCAGGACCCCGGCAATCCGCCGCTTGGCGACTCCCCTCGGCGGAGCCGACCTGCGGGCTTCCTGCGAGCGCCCCGCGTGGGGACGGGGAAGACGGGACGGGGCGCAACCGCCTCACCTCGAGGTCGGAGATTCCCGCCCCAGATCCTCCAGCCCACCCTGCGGTCCAGGCTCCGTACCTCGAAAAGCTGAGGGATTTCCCTCCGGGCCAGATACTCCTTGGCGTCGTTGGTGTTCATGACTGTGCCGCGCGCGCCCCGGGGAGCCTGCCTGGCAGCGATCGGGGTTCGGGCTCCGTTGCAGCCCTGACTCCAAAGCGCAAACACCGTCCCTCCTCTCACTGCCCAGGCCGGGGAACCTCCGCCTCTCCCCGGGGCTCTGGGCTCGGCGCTCCCGCCGCCTCCGCTTGGCTGCTGGTCTCCGCGCCCGAGCTGCGGGCTCCGAGCTGCCGCGCGCGGTGACTGCCAGGGGAGGGGCGCCAGGAGCGGAGGAGGGGGCACCGCGCGGCGGACGTCAGGCAGCCGCCCGCGCGCGGGTCCGCCCGCCCGTCCGCCCGCTCGCCTCCGGCTCGGCGCACCGCGCTCCTCGCTTCCCCGAGCCAGGTCTGCGCTGCGCGGGCGGGCGCGGGGTGCGGGGGTGGAACGGGAACGCGCGGGGCGGAGGGGGGGGGACTCAGAGCCACACCGCTCCCCGGTGGGCCGCACTCCCCGCTCGAGCGCCACCCAGGGGACGCAGCCACCCAGGGACAAGGTGGCCTGGGCCACTAGGTCGGGAGCTCTTGGCATCTGAGATGGTTTTTTCACTTCTTCATATCTGTTCAAACTCTATCTCTCCTTCCCCCCTCCTTCTCTCTCTCTCTCTCTCTCTCCTCTCCAGTCACCCCCAATCCTCAAGGAGCTGGCTCAGTGTAGAGGGGGGTGGAGGGGGTAACCTGACAGTCACAGAATCCATCATTCATTCCTAAAGTTATTGATGGGAATCCCAGTGATGTTAAACGGCGGAGAGGGAAAATAGAAAATTCCTGGTGCAGAATTCACACACACACACACACACACACACACACACACACACACACACACACAAATAATTTTATAATTCGAATATCGCTTTCCTTCGAGAAAGTTTGCTAGCTCGTTTCGGAAAAGGTTTTCCCAACCCTATCACAAATTCGTACACATTTCACGGTAAGGACTTAGAATGAACCCGAAATCAGTCAAATAATTATTTCCGCCCAGATGAATGAGAAGGGAGAGGTGGTGGAGGACTCGACTCTGCTTAATTGAATAGTGATTGAAAATCTGTAGTAGATGCCCAGCAGGTTATCAGCTCCTATGGGGGGGGGGTTGGGGGAGGCAGCATTTGAGGGACCATGAGGGGAGGGGACGAAAGCTTAATGGATAACGATAGATCTTCCTGTTGCAGACCATCATGAAAGTGTACCTGTCAGTCTCCCAGCTCCTAATGTGAGTCATCGCCCAAATTAAGAAGAGAAGATCCAGCCCGCCTTGGGAATACAAGCTCCAGCCACAAGCCCCGCCCCTTGACACTGTGGGAGGGTGTGTGAAGAAAAGGATACTCAGCTAGGCATCTGGTGTCTGATGGAGGGCAACACAACATTGCTTCAAAAAAAATCAAAATATGAATGTCTGTGTCATCTCCATACTCCTTTTCTTAGTTCAATTTCCTGTCACACACACTGGGCTATAGCTACAGTTTTGTTTTGCCTAAGGAGGGAACTCAGTGTTAATTAGTTTTGTAAAGACTTGTGTCATATGGCCATGTGCTATAACCATGTGTCATGCAAGAGTCTTCAATGAGGCAGGCATTCCAGTTCCATAAAATTTGATGTGTGCCTTTAGAATATGCCTTATCACTTACAGTCCCAGCTTCCATTTCTTTACCTTCTTTAAGAACATACTATGAAAACAGTTTCTTGCCTATGTACCTATATATGAAAAGTCCCAGGCTTGATGGCTGGAAGGCTTAGTCAGCTGGCCCAGAGAGGTGAAGCAACTAGAACTGAAGTGATGATTTCTGATGGTCTTCCTGTAAACTACTTCAAGGTCATTCTTTTCAGAGAATGTGGTTAGAATACTGTTCATATCTCTAGTCTCTTGCTCCTGGGCTTTTTATTTTTATTTTTTGTAAACATATTGTACAGAGGGGTTACAATTACATGGGCAAGATAATGCGTACATTTCTTATCAAGCATTGCAGCCTCCTCCTTTGTTTACCCTTCACATCCCTTCCCAGCCTTCCCCACCCAATCCCGCCCCCCCCCACCCTGCAGCAAAGTTGTAAAGTTCGTTTTTGACATGACAACTTGTACTTCTCATAGTTGCATCAGGTCCACCTGTATCCTTAACCGACCTCCTGGGTTTTTAAATGGGTAGATTCTAAGTGCCCTTTAGTAACCTGGTAAATGATAGCAACTTGCTTATAAAAAATGGTTAAGAAAGACTGCATTACACTGAAAATTGTAGAAAATATGAAAGACAGTACAAGAGAAGGAAGTTTTCCCCTTAATTACTGTGTGTGTGTGTGTGTGTGTGTGTGTGTTCAAGTGTGAGCACTGGAGTACTAGGGCTTGAACTCAGGGTCTCTTGCTCTTGCTTAGCTTTTTGGCTCAAGTCTGGTACTTTACCACTTTGGGCTTTTTGTTGGTTTGTTGAAATAGTCTTGGGGATTTTTCTGCCTCTGCCCACACAGTCCTCAGATTTCAGCCTCCTGAATAGCTAGGTTTACAGGTGCCTAGGTGCTGTCCTTTAGTTTTCTTTGTTCCTTGAGGGGGTTCTACCACTTGAACCACAGCTTCATTTCCAGCTTTTGTGTGTGTGTGGTTATTTGGCGATAATAGTCTCACTGGCTTTTCTGCCTGGGCTGGCTTGGTTACTGGGATCTGCAGGTCCAAGCCTGCTGAGTAGCTAGGATTACATGTATGGGCCACCAGTGCCTAGCTTTCTATTACTTTTGGGGGGAAAAAAGCACCAGGCTGATGGTTTGGAGAGGAGAAGGAAGAGGCAAAAAAAAACCCTAAATACATCTTTCTTAAAAGAAGTTGTCCTATCATTCTTTCAAATAGAAGTCTAAGGTGTTACATATAATACACACACACACACACACACACACACACACACACACACACATATAAAGGGACCATTTATTTGGGGGTAAATTTCCTGAAAATTTTATCAAATTGACATGATTACTTCTTGTCTGCTGTACATCTTAAAAGTTAGCACACAGATAAAATCTTAAGTGAGTCATGACCTAGTAAGATTAAAGATTTGTTTCTGCCTTACATTTACTACGAATAGAACTCAAATTTTATGGGTATGGGTACAACTTTTTGTGGTTCAGTTTTTGAGAAAGTTTTGAAAATGCACTAATGCAGGCCACTAAGGAAAAATTGATCAAAATTTCTCTTTTGATCACATTCTAGGAGATGGGGGAGGGTTCTGAGATATGTAAGTGATTAATATGCACATGACCCCTACAGCCAAATTGCTTACGTTCTGCTGGAAATCTTTAAGAAATGCTGATGGTCAATAAGCAGATAAGAATGTATAAACAACATCAACTACTGAAAAAGTAAAGGGCAGATAAGCAATGGAAATATTTTAAAAAATGACAAAGCAAAAACTTACCAGTGACTAATGAACGTGATCAATAAAATCAAGTAACATTTCTGATCTGAAGCAAGAGGGAAGAGGGTCCAGATCTGTTGTGTAGGAGTGGCAGAAAAAGTAGCAGACGAAGTGGGAGCAAGGTTAACTACTAGATGACAACTGAGACTTACAAAAAACCAGACATCCTTATAAAGGAGGTTCTGGTGATAGCATTTCCCTGAGTCATTCCTAAGGGAACCTTACTGCTGACACACAGGCCAGGTCTTCTCAATGACACTCATTCAAATGTGTGTGCATTGGGGCCATTCTTTCTAACTACAGAGAGAAGGTTGAGGGCTGTGTATCCAGAAGAGTAGCCCCCAAACCTTAAGCAGTAGCTAGATGCCAAGCTTATACCCTCATCAACTTCTAAAAGACCTTTATGCCATCTATACTTTAACTGTGGCTCATTTAAGTACAGAAGGCTTTAGTAACAGAATACAAAATATTTCTCATGGTTCAGATCCTGTTTCCTCCATGGAAGTCTAATGGGATCCATCACTTGTCTGGTTGGAAGTAATAATGCAATGACAAATTTGACCATAACATCCACTGAATGTTTTTATGAGTCAGGCATTGTGCTAAGCTCTTTACGTAAAGTATACCATGTTGCTTATTTAAGCCTATCCTGTATTTTTTAAACAATCTATAAAAAATATATTATTCTCACCACCAACAGAGACTCAGAAAATCCACTTTCAAGGTTATGCTAATATGAAACATCAGCTGAATTGCAGAACTGTGTCTTTATATATATATTATATACTTATATATATATACTTTATATATATTTTATATGCATACTTTTTATATATTTATATACTTTAATCTCTCTCTCTATATATATATGTATACTCTAAATATCACCACAAAAATGCCTGTCAAGTTCACAAGGCCTGCAGTAATTTTTTCAGTGGAACTTTAGCTGTTTTCTGAGGGGTTTTACATTCTTCTTTCCCATTTTTCTTCCTTTCCATTTTTCAGCATGTATTTTAAAAATTGAGTGCAAATGTTTTGTTTAAAATACAAGCAACATAACTATAGAGCAACAAGCTTACTTCAGTGGATTTTCTGTTTGTTTGGTTTTGTTTTCCCAAGTTCTGTTTGAAATCCCTTGCATGGTTCAAAACATTGTATAGTCAGCAGAGCATTTCTAATTATTGAACTTTTGAATGTTGAATTTCTCTCATGGAAACATAAAACAATATACATGTCATAAATAGTCATTTTCCTTCACTGGTCTATAACCCACGGGATCATTTTTTTATTTATGTTTTGTTGTAAAGGTAAGATACAGAGGGGTTGCAGTTTCATAAGTCAGGTAAAAAGTACATTTCTTTTTGAACAGTGTCACCTCTTCCCTCATTTTCTCCCAGTTTTTTCCTTCCTGACTCCCCTACCCCACAAGTGTATAGTTTATTTTTCACGCTGGGTTTAGTGAGACCCTGGATCATTTATATTTGTGGGAAATTCAGAAATTTTTATTTGCATAGAAAAATACTAAGTATGTAAGACCTTCCTTTGATATGTTTGTGCATATTTTCTTAACAATGCTTTTAATTTACAAGTATTCCTTTCCAGAAATCTTTATGGGGCATTTATTTATTTATTCATAGTAA